AATCTCTCGTTGCTTTTTAATAACACACTAAATATTGACCAATTAAGACATAGGCAGCTTAAAGCCAAGTGCCTCTAGTTTCCCTCCAAGGACTGGGCCCATACCCCCTATGGATATAATGTGCTTCTCATCCAAAGGGTTGTTTAAAAATCTTATGTAATTTTCACCTCTCTTAATTTGACGTAGCCATGATTGTTTCTGTTCCATTATTGCCTTATTATTAGCACCCACAAAATCTACTGAGAGTTAAAATCACAATATTTTTGTTATTTTTAAACCTATAATTAATAGTTACACTAAGGCAATATTCTATTGTTGGTGTTTCCAATAAATACAATGCTGACAGCAGGTTTTGTTTTACTGATGTCATCTCAGGTTGCAGGGAACAAACTTGAGTCGGCTTAGGGCTCACCCCTTACGAGACATGGGGTCATACATATTTTGTATTTCGCAAATGTATTTGATTTTTACGATTGTGATTGCCATTATCTAGAAAATATATTTGAATGTAATTGCTATGTATAATGACCCAACCTGCCCCTCCCTTCCACTGCCTATTCACAAAGGCATTGAACTTTGTCCATTGAATCAGCCATTATCATGGTATGAACTATGGACGGGAGTACTCTTGATGCCAATGCTGAGATATTCAGGAATTACGATTTAATTGATATAATGCAGTACACCTCTTAACTGTGCATGCGCAGATGCACTAAAATGAATGCACACATGTGCATCACAGATGGACAGCCAACTACATATAATAGCCTAGGAATTGGGTAATGGTAATACTGACTTTGAATCCATGATTTAAATTGGTCATCATTCTTGTTTAGGATCAAGTACTGCCCAATTAGGTTGTAAGCAAATCTGTAGCCCAAGGCCTACATCACGAGAAGTACGAATAGTCTGATCATGGATGGTAGTCCTCCTTATTGTCCTTTTTAATCACTACATGCAAATAAGCCTTTAATTCATTAATGTCTCCACTAAATTTACTTGCCAAAATCATAGTGATGAATCCGATGATGCAGACCAAGAATAATCCTATTGTTTTATTATAGAATCTATAATGAAATAATTTAAATAAATTTTTGCCTAAGGGTTCATCAATGAACTTCAGATTTTTTACTCTTTTTTGTCGACTGAATAAATTGCAGACTCTTCTCAGCCTAAAACGAAAGCCCATCATCTCAAGCCTTCCCCAATGACTTGGCTGATACTGCCAATGACATAAATAGGCTTGCCTTGTATTTTGATTTATCATTTTTACAGAATAATAATGGAAATAGGTAAATAGGGACTGTTCATACTTGTATCGCTAGATGTATCTTTAGCAGTAAGTTCATACATTTAGTAAGGCAGGGGCAAAGGGGCTGCTGATTGCTTCCATAGCCTTAAGGATCGTATTCCAATGAGCATCCCATTCCCCTGTATCTATAGTCTGCCTGTCCATTCTAGTCTGCAATGTCCTGACAAATTTACATCCCAGAATGATGATGGCCCTATAAAACAGGCCAAGAGTAGTTCTCCGAGTAGTCCTACTTCCATAATTGTCACAGTGATGAGTATATATTTCTTTATTTTACAACTAAATTAGGATCCCCGGGTAAAAGAGTGAAGAAAATGTTAGAGGAGAAGGAACCTGATTGGTTTGTGGAGGAATTTTAAATATTTTTTGCTCTTTCTGATAGCAGTAAACTTCATCAAATAGTGAATTGACTCATTACTATCAAACCATCTTCATTCAGAAACAGCAACTTTACTTATGACGCAAAAGTAGACTTCTAACATCTTTTATACATTATTTGACATGTGATTGCTACCAGTGTCTGTCCTACTGGCAGGCTCAGCTACATGTATTAAAAGCAGAAGGAAAGACAACTGGAGGAGATCAGAGACTGATAACTGGAGACGAAATGAACCATCACCTAGTATGAGGAGACGTGAACCAGATGAGAGAGGAAGGAGAGCTTATTGTCCACTTGGTGTTCATAGAGAATTAGGAAGGGCCAAGTTGATTTCCTCTGATTTTTGTCTCAGAGCCTCAGTGACAGTTGCTGGTGCTATTAGCTGAGTTACTTTGTAGCTGATGGTAATCCTTAGGTTACTTTAGTGAACTGTGCATATAGGAAATGATGTTATTTCAAAGCACTGTTCAATAAATTTTTTTGTCGTGTTGAATGTTTATTATGTCTTGGAGCAATGGCCATTCTTCTAGTGTCGTCAGCAAGGAATGAATCAGAGCAAGAGTGTCCGCAACAAGATTCTTTCGCTGCAGAATTGTTGATTCATTAATCATTGGATAATTAAAAAGTTGGTCTTCTTGCTCTTTGACAAGCCAAAGTTGTCCCCTTGTCTTGACTATAGCCACCTCTGAAACTCACAATAAGTCTCTCCTATGTGTTACTACTTTGTTATAACTCCAACCCCTCTGCTATCTCTCTTATCTATACTACTAAATACTAATGACACCTGTCAGCTATCCCTTTCTGCTCTGAAATCCGAAAAGACTCAAAACAGTCTACAATTTCTCTCTCTTGGCTACTGCAATACAGTCATGTTTTATTGTAATAAACCAGGAACATACGCACTTTTTATTCAATACCATCTTTATAATTATCTTTTTTTAACTACTGTAATTTCAAACATTAAAATTTCTCAATTTATTCATATGAAGTAATCTACCACATCATACTACCTATTGATATTGAGTTAAGCTTCCATATTTAATTCACACCATCCTGTCACGTGAATCAGCACTTCTATCTGTTGTCTTGTGCTGGCATTGCAGTGTTTGTGCAACCAAGACTATTAATACAAATGCACATAATTATAACTTACTTTAAACCTCTCATCATCTTTTAACAACAAATGCAATATCATATTAGGTTATCCAGATGCAGTTTATCATGCCTTTCAGTTTGTCTTTCCCTTTTCTTTTCCTTTTTCCTTTCCCTGGGTGTGGCTGTGCACCTTTCTGTTTTAATTCTGGAAATGCCCTAACTTTTTACTATTTTTCAATAAAGAAGGCGGGACCGCTTCCATTCTTAAACAGTTCAATTGGTCCTTTAGTGTTAAATTTGGATGAGCTGTCTGACACTTTTTGAGGTTTGCCAGCTCAGTAACATTTACTAAAGTCAGAACCACTAATTTTATGAAAATTAAGTTACCTCCTAAAAGACTGAGACAAATATAGAGAATGGAGTATGCCTTGAGTCAAGAAGCGAGCTTGCCTTGAGGCTATTAATCCTTGCTTAATTACATTGCTGTTATTAATATTAATTATTTATGCTAAAAATGGATAATGACCCAAAGTGATTATAAATATTTGCTTTAGTTAGCAGGAAATTGGTCTTTCTTTGGTCAGAAAACTATGCCAGATCAATAGCACAGGTTATGCTGTCAGCATTTACTGGTGGCCTTTATGCAGTGTAGTGGTGGTTGTTATTGTCTAAATGTGGCCTGGTTAGTGGAATGAGCTTACAAATTAGCAAAATTGTCTTTTAATAAATTACCATAGAGCAGTAATCCTCTGCTGAGGCTAAGGGACCTACTATACTTCAATGCAATAAGCAAGTCGGTAGACAGTCCTATTTGTGATAGTTGTGGCGAAAGATGTATATCATACTTACTAATTGAGCCTTCAAGGCCTTAATCATTAAGGTTTTTGATTTTCTCAGTTGAGAAAGTCATATGTTTAACTTCCTTTACTTGTACACAAAAGATCGTCAATACCTTTTGCAACCAATTTTTCACTGCATATTGCAATCTTATGTAATCAACTAGTTTGTCAATAGTGTGGAGTACAAGCTTTTGGCACAGTTCTTCCTACCTGTAGGATGTTTCCTTACACCCACTGAAGTTTTGATGTCTGTCATTACTAAATCTTCAGTTACATCAATTTCACTCTCCCTGCTAATTGTGGCTGAACCTTCTGAATCCTGTGCACTTAAATAGCATGTTGTGATTGGTGATACAAGATAAGCATGTAGAATTAGGAAATAAATGATATCTATTGTACTCTCTCTTTCCTCATATGTAGTGTTAACACTGCCATATCTCTGATGCCTTCATTCCTATTCCATCACCAATATATTACACATTTATCATGTGTAGCTTATTATTAATTGAGTTCTTGAAATTTGTTCTGCATTTTCTTGTTCTCTTTTTCAACCAGAGGTAGAGATGGATCAATCCTACCACATATATGGAAATGTCCCTCACTGTCTTTTGTCTCGATTTTAAGATTGATAAGTCAATTTTTTGAACCTGTTGATAAAATAGGTATTCAAAGCAAGACCCTTTGACTGCATCGGCAAATTTAAACTCCAACTGATTGTATCCTCCTATCTCAACTGCACTTTTTACTAGGAAATCCATTATTGTATATTATTGTGACTTATTAATTTTTCCCATTGGTTGCTTATAGCAAATATATTGCATAATAATAATTTATTAATTATTGAATGTTCAATATATCACATAATGAATGCTTGTCAAGTAAGGCTTAATTTACATGCAATATGCTTAGGCATGGTAGAAACTATAATTGTATTTTTATAGTACAGTTTTGAAAATTCCAGTTCTGCAGTGCATCTAGTTTCTTGATTTTATCTTCCTTTTCGCCACTGGATTTTTCATCTTTTACTTGAATCTTTTCTTCTTTTATTGCCAACCCAGCCTCCTTTATAAGTTTGGTGGAAGTGTGTTCATATTTCTGTAGCCCTTTTGAACTCTTGTGACCTGAAAATTCAGCTATGATTTTTTCTGGAATGCCTGCATTAAACATTCTTGTGCAAGCTGTCGCTCTCAGACTATGATTGGTGTATCGATTACTAAGTCCAGCCAACTCTGACATTTTTGCCATCATATTTTTGAGTGTATTGACTCCTATAGGTGTTATCTGGTACCATGGACGTGTTGGATCACTATCTATTCTCTGCATTGGCTGCATATAAAAGGCCTTTGGATTCTTAGGTAGTTTTGGTATATAAAGATCAATCAATTGTACTGGACAGTGGACACATGCCTGGTATGGAATAATCTGGTTGTGCATATATATAGCTGACTTTATTAGAATCCAGATCACTTAGTCTTCCCTGATAGCTTTTCGACCCATGCTCTACGTACTGGTAGTAAGTGTCTTCATTGTATACTCCATGGTCTTGAGGAAACCTACGAAACTGCTCAATGGTAAGGTCGCGATGTTCTTGACCACCCCTCAGTGTGAAAGAAAGACCAACAGTGTAAAATACAGCATGAAGAAGAGGCCAAGGTGAGTCTGTTCCCATAACTCCACTACTCCACAATAACTGCTCATCCTCTTTAGTTATTACTGCTGCGGCCTTCCTTATTGCACCAACCCCTTCCTTTCTTAAAGTAACACACACAGAGTCTATTGTATTCTGTAGCTCTCTAAACCTGAAATCATTCTTGCTAAACAGATGGTAGTCTAACTTATTGTCTTGCAATATTCTCTGATACACAGCGAGGAGACTTCTTATAGTGGCAGAGGGGTATGGCTCTCTGTTTTCCTTTCTAGCCTCACTTACAAAACGACAAAGCCAGTAGCAAACTACTTCCGAGTTTTTACATGCTAGAAGGTCTTCAGGAACCTTTTCCTCTGACATGGAGTTCCTAAATGATACCCAACTTTGAAACGTACGAAGAGCCCATTTATTTGCAAGTTTCATGTTAGCCGGTACGGCACCTTTTGCCTTCTCTGTTGCTTCTTCCGTTGTTATTGGAGGTAGAAAACGACGGTTAGGGCCAAGAACCAGTGGGCGCTTCAGAGGTACAGAGGAAATTTGCTCTAGAGCAGCTCTCTTCATCCTCGTCCTTTCTCCTTGAATGTCACTTGTTTAATGTTTATTATTGAAAAAAAACGAGTAACCATAACAACTGCTCTATTGCGCATGCGCACAAAATGAACTACGCATGTCTGAGCTAACTATTAACTAATGTGATCCCAGCAATGGAAAACAGCAACTAGAAAGTGCTTGTTTTGTCTTGTAAGTCACGTACAATAAACCACATAATGCTTGTTAGGCGTTTATTAAGTGATTTATTG